TTCAATTTACTTTGTAAGTAATGGTGGCTTTTTAAAGGAAAGCATCTATTTTCCCTAAATAATGGAGAGAATCATTATAAACTTATGTGCATAAATAAACATAAAATTAGTAGACCTCCAATGTCTAAGAAAGTAAAAAATTATTGCCTGTTCTATTATTGTTTAACTTCTTTTTGTAGTCAAGTAATGATTTGACTTGCATTGTAAACTTTACTGATAAAAAATATCCTCCTTTCCCTTCAAACCATTTGTGAAAATTGAATAAAATTTCATTTTTTAGTTTCTAAACATTCTTGCTGTGGGTTCATTTGAAGGTCACTGTCTTCCATGAACCTCTTATTTCCCTTCACGTTGTGTGGCGGGCTGTCATCTTTTAGTGGTTTTGATGTGGTTCATCTCTGAGAGCCACAGGAATTCCACCAGAGTTCATTTATTTACTAAGAGACTACTGCTGTCTTGCTTTGCATGGATTATAAAAGAAGAAAATCTTAATGAGGTGAATCATGAGCTTTTAACTTTAAGTGTGTCAAAGTCACATTAAAATTTTATGATTTGGGAATAGGATTTTTTTGTGAGTGTGTGTGTGTGTGTGTGTGTGTATGAAACGAAAAGCAGTAATAAAATGAGACCAACTTTCCATTCATCCATTTATCCATCCGCCCACCTATCCGCCCACCTATCCATCCATCCATCCATCTAGCCATCCATCCATCCACCCATCCATTTCTATTACCAGTCATTCACCAGTTATGTATCCCATCCTGTAGGTTGGTTGTTCAAATAGTTAGACATTTCCCCATTTCTACTGAATTATACTGGAATAAAATTTAGTAAAAGTCCTAAAATATTCAAAGTCAAGACATCAGATTACTTTTGGAATATTGAGATGGATACTTTTCCTGTGTGAAGATAATCTTGTTTTCTTGCTTTGCTTAGAAAAATACTAAGAATGAAATAAAATTAGTTACGATTTCTTATCTTATTCCAGAAAACCTAAACCAAACCTGAAAGTTAAGTTTGGCTTAACTTTAATGTGGGAAATGATTTAGTATGTATGAGTTTGTTGATATGTTTGTTACATGTATGAAGTCGTGAAGATACAAAACTTATTTTGAACCATAGTTGTTTTGAAACCAGTTGTTTATAGGAAAGATCAGTTGGGTTGAACCAAATCGGTTGTTTAGAAGTCAAATCTCTCCTTTCGTCCCATGGAATTCTGTTTCTTACTCCTACTCTTTTCATCTACCAGCTGTAGTGTTTGGAAGGCTTTGCTAGGATACTGTTTCTGCCTGTGACGGAGCAAATGTTTTCACATTTGGGATCTAGAGCATGTTTTAAACTGTGTATTGATATGAAGAATCTACAGTATTTTTCACAGGTTAAACACTCTAGAAGACGTTTCTGTCCATGATAGAAAAAAGGCCTTTCTCTGTGCTTTGCCGAGGGTTGGATCTAGTAGTTCTCTACAAGATCTGATTGGAGTCACCATCAAAGAAGAGGAGCAAAAACAAGTTCCCCTTATTTTAGGTGTTTGTTTTATTAATGTTGATCTTCAAGAACATTCTATTCTCCATAGAAGGAGAAGTCATCTTTTCATAGTATTTCACTAATTGTAAATCCATATTCACTTCTAAATTGTTATTGTCAATGTCTAAATATCCATTTTCAATGAAAACGTTGCAAATTATTACAGAAACTAGTTAAATTGTGCTTTTACTCTTTAACAAAAATGAAGCCTCCCATTAATACTGGGTAGATTTTAGCTTATAAAATAATTATATTAACTCTATATTATGCAAATAGCTCTGATTAATGCACTGAATCTGGTTATTAGAAAGCTAATCTGGGCAATTAAAGCCCTCAATCTCATGATTTTCCTTCTGATTTGGGATTTGTACTTTCCTTTTTAAGGTTTAGAAATCAAACTTAGGACCTCCACATGTAAGGCATGTGCTTTATCAATACCTGGCAGGAATCTATGCTTTTTAAGTGTAAGGAATATATACTAGTGTAGAATATATCTATCTGTATTCAGCCATGAAAGTAGGTTGGCTGTTGTCAACAAATAGGTGATAAGCTATACAAATGCAGTGAGATAGTTTCAAGGTATTTAAAATGGGTCACAGTTAAATCTTTTCTCAGCCTAGATCTAATGGAGGGGAACTATTGATTTGAGAGTTTGTGGTGAACACTAACTCTAGTTCGCATCTATGGGGATAGAGGTTATTTAGAAAAATCACTCGGTAGGAGTAGAAATCAGAAAGTTTGCAGAGTTTACAAGGTTGCCCTCATTGTAAACATGAAAATTTCATTGCAGCTCCCTGCCTTGAATGTTGAAAGTGTCATGGCTAATAACTGGAATCTCATTACTAATTTTTTGCTTTAAAAGTTTTTTTTTGGCCACACTTGCTTGTGCTTAGGATCATATGTGGTGTGAGCGATCAAACCTGGATTGGCCACATACAAGCAAGTACCTTATTCACAGTACTATCTCTCAGGTTCACTATTGAAAAAGAAAATGCCTGCTAACTTGAACGTACCATTCCAACTTACAGCTTTACCTATAGTTTATGTACTGCTTGGAGTTGTGAGAATTCAGATGTTACCGAAGGAAGTTACACAATTACTTTGCCCAAAGCTGTGTTATTCAAGACAATGACCATTAAAATTAAAATTAATTAAAATTCAGAATTCTCTATCTTATGGAGCTGGATAGATAGTACAGTGGGTAATCTACTTTCCTTGAACACAGTCAACTTGGGTTCACTGTACCACATATGGAACCACATATGGTTTCCCACGCACCTCCCTGAGTGCAGAACCAGTAGTAAGCCCTGAGTACTGCTGTGTGTGAGTGCTGCTTCCTCTCCCCACTCCCCCTGCAAAGAAACAGAATTATCACTTACTGGCCACATGAGACTCAAAAGTCTGTGCATCTTATGGCTACCCTATCTGAAAGTGTTAATCTAGTAGTTAACGATGAGCTTTAGACTCCTGCCTGCAAAATCATTGTTTTGTTAGCCTTGCCTGGGAGGGGACAAGAACTCAATGAGCCTCTCCTTCCCCCTCCCTCCCTCCCTCCCTCCCTCCCTTCCTTCCTTCCTTCCTTCCTTCCTTCCTTCCTTCCTTCCTTCCTTCCTTCCTTCCTTCCTTCCTTCCCTCCCAATAACATAACCCTCATTCAATTGCTATGTAATTGAGAGATGGATCAAATTTTTTTTCTAGTGATATCTAATATTGAGACAATGATTGCATTTTAGTTCGAATCCCAGAGTGATGCAAACTGACGAATCAATTAGGATTTCTCTTTTACAAGAATCAAGTGTGCTTGAGTCGATATCTTCCATGAAGCGATTTTAATCTTGAGGTTACTGTTGCTGGTGGAGTGAAAGCCTGGGACACTGGATAGGTAAAGTCTGGTGAGCTCCTTCACAGAACAGACACAGAGTGGCTGAGCTCTGCCCACCTCAAGAAGTCAGCTGTCTAGTGGTTCCTTAGACCCACTTGATCTGTGTCACATGGGGCATAATCCTTATCATGTGCATTTTCAGGTAGTCGTGATTGGCAGGCTGAGGTGAGATTATCAGAGAAGATTTCTCTCCCTCTCCTTCCCTCCATGTCCTTCCTCTCTCCTCCTCTCCACATCTGGAGGTGCTCAGTTACTTGGTTACTCCCGTATCTATGCTCAGGGATCACTCCTGGAGATCCTCAGGGGACCATAGGTCAATGCTAGGGATTGAATGTTCATGACTCGGCCACAGGCAAGGCCACTACTGTGCTATCTTTCTGCCAAAGCCATTTCTTGTTTATCCTTTAACATACAAATCAAATCTGAAAGTTCAGTTGGTTGAGATAAGACCAGGAAGTTTGACCATTGTGACCCATTACAACAAATAACACCACCATAAACTTCTGGAGCACATAAATTCTTTCACTCTAAGGACTGCTTGTTTGTTGAGGTTTTGTAATTATGTATAGTAGAACGTGAAGTCAAACTCCATTTGTATCTAGTGACATTCACTATAGCAAGGTGATCCTTGTAGCCTCTCCAGGTTTTGTAAGGTGAATTGAGCAAACTGAAGAAAAAAAAACACACACACAGTAAAGTGGGAAAACTGAGGTGGTACCATCTTGTCTCTCATGTCTAAATAGCTCAAGTCATTCAGCTAGATAGGGGACCATAGGTCATTTAACTGAGCACATACTATGGGAGCTTGGTCCTGAGTCAAGCACTGGATGTACAAACCCATACAGGACATGATCCCTGTGTTATTAAGGAATCCAGAATTTAGAATGGGAAATCCACAGGCAAAGAAAAAAACTGTCACTAGGTTATAGAATTATGCTTATAATGACATAAAGTTAAAATATATAATGAAATAAAAATCATTATTTGAAATTCACAGTCACGGTCCTCCCTTTGTTCATTGATTTGCTCGAGCAGGCCCAGTAATGTCTCCATTATGAGACTTGTTGTTACTGTGTTTGGCATATTGAATACATCACAGGTAGCTTGCCAGGCTCTGCCGGAAATCATGTATTTCTAAATTTACCTTTTATTTATTTATTTATTTATTTATTTATTTTTTAATTTTTATTAGTGTGACATCATGAGGTACAGTTGCAGACTTACAAATTTTTGTGCGTTCAATTATACAATGATCAAATACCCATCCCTCCACCACCACGGATCCCAGTGTCCCTCCCACCCCCCATCCCACCCTGCCTCTGTGTCAGGGCATTCCCTCTTGCTCTCTCTCTCTCTTATTGGGTGTTGTGGTTTGTAAAAGAGGCTGATAATTCTGTCTACCACCTGTTAGAAGAGTAAGGCCCTAGCAGTCTGAGAACTTCGGCTCAGGGACTAGAACCTTTGTGCATTGACACGGTCTCCTCTGGAGTCAGAGTGTGCTGTGGGGTCAAGGGCCCCCAAGTCCTCCCAGCTGACTGCACTTGGCGACACGCACAAAAGCTCAGTCACAGCCCTCTCTTTCTCTCCACAGCTCTTTGTGCCATTGTTGCCACCATCTGGTTCCCGGTGTGTGCCCACCGGGAGACCACCATCGTGAGCTTCGGCTACTCGCTCTACGCCGGCTGGATTGGTGCAGTGATGTGCCTCGTGGGTGGCTGTGTCATCGTCTGCTGCTCTGGCGACGCCCAGTCGTTTGGTGAAAACCGTTTCTACTATTCTTCCGGATCCAGCTCCCCCACGCACGCCAAGAGTGCTCACGTATAAGAGAGCTCCCGACTTGCCCTCGAGGGGCTGTCGATGCTGGGGTGCCCGCCCCTAGGTCTGCTTGCATCAGAGGGGAAGCCCACTCCTCGGCCAGGCTCCAAATTCAGAGTTTAGGAAAATATCCTGCCTGGCATTTGATAGTCTTAACATCTTTTCCTGTTCGGTTGCCTTAAACGAATTCTTTAGCTCTTAGGATGCCCACAAAGGTTTTACCCACTCTTAGCTCTCTTCTTGGGCATTCCTTTGATACTCACTGAGATGCACACATTTGTGTGTGTGTGTTTGGCTGTCTCTTTAAATTTAAGTATCTTGCAAACTGTTACTGTGTTGGGGAGCGAAATAAAAGACACTTTTCAAATTGTTACAGATGACAAAGGGAGCTTCATAGAGATGCCTCTCTTCCTCCTCCTCTTCAGCTCCAAGGTCATTTAATTATGAGGGATAGAAAAAAAAAACAGCATTGAGGACATGGAGTGAAGGAGGGGGGAGGGGTTTCATGAAACTTCCCCTCCTTGGGCAAGTTTCCCTTTTATAAATTGAAGGCCAAGGATGTTTTCTTTCCTTTTTTCTTTGTTTTTTTGTGATTTTACATTTATCTGTACATACTTTTTCAAGATTGATCATTTTTATAACCACGGTTTTCCTGAAAGTCTCAGTTCATCAGTATGAAGGAAATGAACCAAATAGACTTTAATTACATGGTAACCATACAAGTGAGTATAACTTTAACTGGCATTCCACAAAACATTTTTGATTTGCAGGTTTGTATGATCTAGTTTTTAATCCTAGCGTTGCATTTACTTCAATTTAACTCTCCCCCTCCCTTTTTATTCTCTCAGCCCTCTTGAAGTTTTGTTTAACAGAAATTGTACTGTTGAATTTGGCTTTACGGGCGTAAACACTGATGTTGTATCAGTATCTGAGACCCCAAGCTCTCCAAACATTGATGGTGCGTTTTGTTCTTTAAATGAAATCTGTGCAATAAAATAACAGACTGTCTGCAAAACTGGTGTTTAATCTTCTGTTATTTCCAACTAAAACCTATAAAATTCAATTAATCTCTGTTACTAATTTATGGACAACTTAATAAGTGATTAAAAAAATGTGTCATTCTGAACCGGCCTGAATAACTGACAAGTTATATTTTATTCACTACATGGTGGCAATGTTGTATGGTTATAAAAGTGTAACCTAAATATTTTCTAGATTTCTTTAGGGGAGTGACATGTGAAATTTTAAAGTCACATATCAGGGGACAGCTATCAAGAAAACAAGTGTCAAGGATTACATGCAGTGAAACTATTTACATTTAAACATTTAGTATCTTTAGTACCTTTGAACATTTAGTGCCTTTGACTGCTGTAAAGGGAACTATGAAACAAACACATATTATTGGATCTTTAAGAAATAATATCTAAATGTGTTTGTTTCAATATGTGCATATAGATGTCTGGAAATTTTCGACAAAACACACACAATGGGTTCATTTTTGTGTTTTATTTCAGAACTAGAGGTTTCTCTTAAAAAAACAAAACCAGAAACAGATTATAATCTATTTTGGCAGCATTTTCCCAAAAATTTTAACTTCGTTTGCAGACAGCACAATAATTGGCAAACATTTCCTCTTTGGAAATATCCATTTAGACTAGTCATTTTGTAGATATTTGTTTACATTAGGAGATTATAACCTGGTAGAAACTATTTATAAGTTATTTGTGCAGAAAACACATATTCAGGCTAACAAAAATATTTGCTAAATTGTGGTCTATTTTTTAAGTGTATAGTTCATGTGATTATATTGGAGTTCCCTTCCCAATATAAGATTTTTGTTTTCTTTTGTTTTGGTTTTGGGCCATACTCAGCAGTGCTCTGAGGTGACTCTTTGACTTTGAGCTCAGGGTTCACTTCTGGTGGTGCTCAGGGGACCATATGGGGTGCTGGGGATCAAACACAGGTTGACCACGTGAAAGGCAAGTGCCCTACCTGCTGTACTATCGCTTTGACCCTCCTATATCTATATAAGTTCTCATGAGAACTTGACCCAGTATAACAGTTGTGAATGTGAATAGAACAGAAAGCGTTTGGTGGTGGTCACAGTGATGGTGGATATGAAATAGATAAGAAATTTTAGTTCTCATTTTCCTTCTTTCAAACACGTGTCAAGCTGATCTTCTCTTATAAATATGCGTCCACTCAAATAACTTCTTTTCTGACACGGTTGCTTGTTTTTCACGTGAATATGTACACCTCATGAGCTCACTTCCCGTGTAGCAGGAGAAAGACACCTAAAATCTCTCCTAGCTATCTGTTGCCGGTGTGACTGGGGAATTTTATTTTGTAGGAAATAAACCAAGTTGAATTTGATCATTAGGATGAAGAAGGGAAGAAAAAATAACTTTCTCCGGATGAACAATATCCTGTAGAAATATAATATGAGCCACACATAAAATTGAACATTTTCAGGGTGGGGGACAGAGAGAGAGAGTACAGTGGGTAGGGTGCTTGCTTTGCATATTGCTGACCTAGATTCGATCCCTGGTACCAAGTATGGTCCCCCGAGCCCTGTGACTAGTGACCCCTGAGCACAGAGCCCTGAGCACAGCTGAGTATGGCACCCAACCCCCTGCCCCATTCCCTCTTAGGAGGCATTTATGAAAAATATAGAAAATATATGAGCAAAATTAATTTCAATATATTCTATTTAATCCAACGTATTCCCAATACAGTCACCCCTTGGTATAGTGAGAATTGAGTTGTCAGATGCCCTGTTAATTCCAAAAACCAGGGATGCTGAAGTCCCTTTTACAAAATAGTATAGCATTTGTATATAACATGTACACATCCTCCCTTAGACTTTAGATCATCTCAGATTACTTATAAATATCCAATACAATGCCAATACTATGCAAATAGTGTGATGTACTGCTTAGGAGGAATGATGAGAACAGAGATCTGAACACATACACAACTTTCATAGGTCTAACTACAGAGTACGCAAAGGTTGGTTGAATCCGCAGATGCTGAGCTCATGGAGATAGAGCTACATTGCACTCTATTATCAGTTTAATATATCATCAAATGTCAATAAGATACTTTGCACCTTTATTTTTATATTAGATCTTGGGAGTATGGTGTATAGTTTACACTTAAACCAACTCAATTTGTACTAGTCACTTTTCAAGCTCAGCGGCCAATGAGTATTGGATTGGATAACATACCTCTACGGAATAATAGGTTCTGCCTCAGTAATCTTCAAGTGGGTGGCTGTATTTTGGACACACTGGGTTAAATAGAAAACATTAAACAGAAATTTTTCTTATCTCTAGTTTTTTTTTAAAATGCATCACTTAGAAAAAATGGATTTTATTTGCTTTTATTAGAATTTTAGTAGGGCCTGATAATTATTGTCTACCAGGAAAAGACAGTGAACCCCAATTGTTGGCAAAATGGCAGACCCAACATGTTTTACCTTAATGATAGGGAGGAGGGGGCAGGAGAGATAGTCAGGTCAGGATGCTTGTATTATAATAGTTAGAAATGATCACTCTGGACACGAAGAACTGAGTGTTGAAAGTAGGTTAAAGAGATACACAAACATTTGTAGAGATGACAAAGTTTAGATTATTTGTTAAGGTCAGATAGCCAAGAAACAGAGCGAAAGTTGGATATAAGCACACAGAACAGACATCTAGTCATATTTGAAAGGTTAGATCTGAGGTTATATTAGACCATGAATTTGTTTATAAATGCTCATTATAACCATGTTACAGTGACCACCCCTATAGGAAAAAAAATAAAGTTGGATACAAGACTAAAATAAGAACCACAACTAGGAAGTCAGGTATGATGCAGACTCATAGTCTTCACTCCCACAAAACTAGGCGGTAGATCTGGTTGATACTCATGAATTTGCATTTCTTTTTTTGTTTGCTTTTGGTTTTGGGCTACACCTGGCTGTGCTCAGGGCTATCTCCTGGCTCTGCACTCATGGATCACTTCTGGATGAATCTGCATGCATTTTTTTAATTGGCATGTATATTCTCTTCCACCATATTTTTACATTAAAAAATGACAAATCTTTATCTTTTTTAAAAAAAATTTTTATTAGTGAAACACCATGAGGTACAGTTGTAGATTTACAAGTTTTTGTGCTTGGGTTTTGATTATACAATGATCAAATACCCATCCCTCCACCAGTGTCCATTTCCCACCACCATGGGTCCCAGTATCCCTCCCACCCCCAACCCCCTCATCCCACCCTGCCTCTGTGGCAGGGCATTCCCTTTTGTTCTCTCTCTCCATTTGGGTGTTGTGGTCTGCAAAAGAGGCATTGAGTGGCAATCATGTTCAGTCCATAGTGTATTTTCAACATGCATCTCCCCTCCTGGGAGGATCCTCCAGACACCCTTTATTTGGTGCTCCCTTTTCTATCTGAGCTGCCCTTTCCCCTAGAATGCCCGGCTGGCCTCTAAGCTATGGGTAATCCTCCTGGTTCTGATCTCCGCTATTCTTGGGTATTAATCTCCTATTTTGTTACTTTATATCCCCCAGGTGAAAAATCTGCATGCATTTTAAAGTATAATCTGTAATACCATGAGATTGTTCACCACAGCAGTGAAGGGAAGGACCTCTGTGTTTCTTCAGCACCGAGGGTCACATCAACCTTCCCCCTCACTCTGTACCTCTTCTGATCAGACCACATACTTGGGGGTCTTTGGTTTGGAACAAATAAGTAAAGCTGCTTTCCAAGAATTTGGTAGAAACCAAAGTAGAGAAAGTGTGTTACAAACTTTCCCAACTTCGGGATGCTAGTTACAATGACAGCAACAAGAACAACAAAAAGAAGATTGTGTACTTAAAGCATACAAGTTAAACATTTCTGCTGAACTGGTGGTTGGGATAACAATAGAACAAGGTTCGGTTGTGTTTTTCCCTGTGTTTTTTTTTCTTTTTTAAAATTTCAGATCTGCGTGTCAGTGTTTCTCTATACAATGTACACAATGTGAACTGCAGCATCTTAAATGTTTGGCAGGACATTCTCACTCATGACATCACACGCTGGGAAGACAGGGAGGCCACT